CCTGGGTTGCATCTTTTCAGCAGTAGTTTTGCTTGTCCTTGATACGATCTTCCCATATCACAGTATTTAAATCCCCAAAACTGCTCCTACTCTACCACAGTTAACTTTCCCCTGCATGTACCCCTAGGTGATGTTAAGGGAATAAAATGTAAAATTAGATACCTCATGTTTTTAATTAATATACCACTGCTGTTCTCTTAATACTACAGCTTTTGGTCTCTGGTCCACGTGTAACTGACCTGTTCCCCACAGCTAAGCCTTCTGTATACTTGAATAGAACATTACCTTCTGGTTGGCATCCATTTCAAACACGCTGCCATACAGAAGAAGTTGCTAAAGACTGCTGGACTGGATGCCACAATAATGTGTGAAGTTTTACTTTTACTTTACTTGGAGTAAAGATTTGCGGGAAATGTATTTGCAAATGCAATGTAAAGAAATAAATAAATAGTGCTGATTACACTGCCCTTGTGCCTCCATGCCTCCAAAACACAGGCAAAGTGCTGCTTTCCAGAATGAGGTATTTTTTTTATCTTCATATCATGATGGCATTTTTGTCCCTCTGTGGCAGTGCTTCTATAGAACTAACAACTTTCCTAACGATGTTGTAAAGGGAAATTTCTAATGCCTAAGTTGCATGTTTGAAAATAATCACAGCTTGAAACCAAAGGTGAATGCAAATATACTATGTTCTTCCATGCTGTTCTATTCACAGTTTACACAGATTTCACAATGAGATGCAATTGCAAATGGTAATACTTCTGAAATGTGCTGCACAGACATGCCATAGAGTAGCTATCTAGATAGGCAAATGGAAAAATACAAGTTAGGATCAGTGTTCACCATTGGCAATGCACCAGATCATTGGCGTATTCTGCCGTGAAAACTTCCACTTTCATTTGTCAATTCCTTCTCTCTGATTTTACTCTCCTCCCTCTCCTATCTTCTTTTCAGGCCTCCCAAACCTTCGTGCAGAAAATGTGCCTTCAGCACACAGAGAGGAAAGAATCCTCTCTTGGGATCTCGATCAGTGTCACTGTGACTTTGCTGGTCCTTTTGCAGGAACAGGTGTCGGCAGAAGCACAGCAGGAACACTGCAGAAGGACTGACTGCTGGTCCGTGCTGCACAGGCTGTTCAGGTGGGAGCCTTGAGTCCCTCTGTCCCTCTCTTATGAGCTCCATGTAGGCTCACTCTGATTTAGCTCCACTGCCTCTTGCAAGAAACCAGTCTTTTTGGGATAGTCTTGCTGGCTACCATTACTACTTCTCACCTAACGGAATCTTTCAAGCATTCATTCTCCCAGGTTCTACAAAACCAATGTGCCAAACCCAAGATCTGCTCTCCCAAATGCTTGTTACTGCTGTACATCTCACAGTTACTGATAAACCAGGTAGTATATGATTAACCTGCCAATATTAATGTTTGCATGTTGTTTTAACCCATGCCAAGGCCTCTCTGTTTCTCAGACTTCTGCACGAAACAAATTATTTTTAACTACTCACTCTGCCTATCTTTTATTGAACAGTAGGAGTAGCACAGTACTTGACTGTCACAGGGAGAGTGACGGGCTCTACATAGATCCTGAAGGGAGCAATGAGTGTACTTCCATTCAGTAAGTCTGAGGACTTCAATTCATTTACACAACTATGAGGAAACCAGGAAATTTAACACTAGCATTGAGTATTTAGTGCCATAGTAACATCCCACAAATGTGGTAGAATCATAATAAACCACGAAATAAAGGGGAAACTAGGAAATTCAAAATAGAACCAGCCAACATGCTCTGTCCATCTTCATGACTGTCTCCCCTTCATATGGGCCACGAAGTCCATCTTTGGGGGAATCTTCAATCAGACACCTAGATCATCAGCTGCTGGGACTGAAAGATGTTTCAGCTGGACAGGATTCCTTGGTTTTGGAATGTTTTTCCCATTTATCCTGGTAAGTGACTAACCACTAATGTTAGTGACTAGTCACTAATGTTTTGAGTATGATTCCACACACCAGATGATGATATAATTAATTGTTTTCACTCTTTCATCAGTAAGCAGTTAGATTTCTAATTAATGAAATTGTGATCAATGATTCAAGGAGAATCAAGTAGAATCAAATGAAAGAATCAAATTTGAAAAAATGAAAATTTGATCAAAGGAATTTGAATCAAAGGAAAATCTCCATTCTTCTTGTTCCTTATTTTTGCTGAGATCTTCTTCATCTACCTCCTCCTTTCAGAGGTGAAGGGTACAATTATGAAAATAACAGAAGAATTTGCCATTTTACATTTTAGGATGAGATTTCATTCCATTACAGGAAGTACTTGTGAGGAATGTAAAACCTACATTAGCTTCTAGCTGGTCAGTAGCAGAGCTATGTTTTTAGTATGGTCAGTAAGGACTTTAATGTTTGTAGAGTGCAAGATGAAACAAAGGCAAAATATTTGTTTGCTATTATTGGAAAAGATTTGAATACTCCTTCATAGACACAAGTGGAATCTTCATCAATGGAAGACACATAAAAACCTGATAGAAGTTAGTAAATAATAAGTGATAGTGACATAAAATATGAGCTATGCTAAATTCATAGATTTCACTTAGGAAATGTTTTGTTCCTAAAAGTCTTCTTTAGTTCCAGTCTCCATGATTTTGTTTTTCAGAATTTCATTTTGAGTTTTTAATTATAGCAAACCTAAAGTATCAAACCTAACCTAGATAAGCCACTGGGATCCTCTCAGAGGCGACTGAAAGGACAATGTATTGTAAATAGGATTTCTTCTTTGTGGAATTTAAAAAAAAAAAGTCAGGCCTGATTATTGAGGTGAAAGTAGAAATGAGTCAGTCAGCTTTGCATTCCTGATACAACAGAGCAGTTTTGTTGAGTCACAAGGTATACAATTATCACAGCCACAGTTACTCATTTGGTATTCTGACTTGTAACCTGCTTCCTACCACTGTGAGCAGTTCTCTAGGAGCTGGACAATTGTGCTGTGCAGCGTAACCACCTGAGCCAGCATACATGGAGAGAACAGGAGGAGGGAGCTGGCAGAATGTTGTGGTCATTTGTAACTTTGTAAGGTTTGCTAGTTTCCAACTGCTATTAATTCCTTTAGGAGAACTGCAGTACTGAACAACTGTAAAGAAGCACAAATACAAAGGATGACAGCTGAGTGCAATACAGGTGTTACGTGCACAGGTCACAAGGAGAAGCCAACAGCCTGTCCTCATTGGACTTATTCTTTAGAAAGGAACAGTAAAAGTCTCCCAATCACATTGTCTCCTAAAATTACTGATAAAATGAAACAGTACTATTCTATAAAATCAAGCGTAGCTCAGAAACCCCAGAAAGACCCAGAAATGTCAGAGAAATGTTACTGTGAATTAGTGGAATCGCTGCTACTTGAGATCCTCAGCAATTATTTTGCAAGGAGAGTAGGAATCACATAGAAAACCCTACACTTTGATATGAATTGAGAAAATGCATGTATGCAATAAGCAGGAAACGTTACAATTTTAAAACAATTTCAAAAATGAATTAATAGCCATGCTGCTTCTGTTTTTGTACAGTCAAAATGCTACTATTGTTGGTGTTCAAGAGAAAACACAAAAATGCTAAATCATTCTAAATGCTGCTGCAAGCCAGGAAAAACAGCTTTGCTATGCATTGTATAGGAACACTTGCAATTACACAAGTAACTAAGGTTTTATTATTAACATCTATTCTCTCTTTTCTTTAGACTCGCTGCATTTGCAGTAAAATCCTCTGTCAATAATTGCATTCTGTGTTTTATGAACTAGAAGTACAAGTCCTGAGCTTAGGAATTTACTGATGGCTCCAGCATAACCCCATTGTCACATCCACACCCAGCCCAAACCTTGGCAGTGGTTGAATGTCCCCTGGCATGACTTAGAGAAAGCAGAAGACACTGAAAGCAGCAATAGCACAGGACATCAGATATACAATAGCCCCAGGCAAACCTCTTTTTTCCAAACCTGGTCTCTAGAAGAAGCCAAGTAAAGCCACAGTTCAGCTTTCACATCATCAATGCGGAGCCTCTGGGAATCAAAGGTGACTTTCCAATGCATCAGCAGATGCAACACTGAATTTGGAGCTGTTCTGTGTCTGTAATGCTCAGAGCTGAAGCCTGAGGAATGAAGAACCCAGCTGTGCCACCCTACCTCGTTAAGGAGTATTTACTCACTTTGATTACTCTCATAAAGAAGTGGATTTTAGTTACTGGCTGGTTTGGCATGGAGCCTTCAGGAAGAGACACTCTATTCCAAAAGCCTCTGCCAGGGCACATCTCCTGCCTTCTCACCATCCCTGGCCAACAGGGCACAACATCTCCTGGTGCCTTCTCACCATCCCTGGCCAACAGTCTCATAATCACAAGACAAAAAATATTCTTCCTTGGGACAGTCAAGACATAAATCAGAACATCTGAATTAAGATTTGAAACGTGCTACTTCTATCTCAAGCCCAGTGAAGAGCTGTGTGTTTGAGAATTTGCCTATTTTTTCATCTAATAAAAGCTATCTACTATATCAGTGATTATGAAACTGAACACAAAATCTTTGCTGCTTAAATAAATACCAATACCTAAATATTTTGCTAGTTACTTTTCCTATTGAGCAGATTATAGTGGATGTTGCTCAGCTCTTATCAGTGAAATAAAGTATTTTACTGGTCTTGGAAAACTACTTGGATTTTTTTTTTCCTGAGCTCTCCTTTCTCTTTCCAAAGGCCAGCTGCAAAACTTCCTCTGTTTTGAAACTTTCCCCCTGCAGACTGGACCCGATGCAATTATTTCCTGAAATATTTAATCCAGCATTGTTAACTTTGTCCAGCTGAAGTAAATATAAGTGAGCAAAGACAAAATAGTAAAAATTTAACCCAGCTCCCTGCAGCCAAATGCCTACTGCCATAGCAGCAGGAATGAGACAGACATAGAAGCCAGTGATGACACAGGCACTCAGCGCACTGGAGAACCAGCCCTGAGCTAGAGATGACTGGCTTCCTATCAGACCTGGTGAGTACATGGTGGGGCACTGACATCTGGGATATTTTTGTATGCTATCAGTGGATGAAAGAAATCAAAATCACTATCTCTGTTAAAACAACAAGGCTCCTATTTGCAAAAAGTACTTTGGAAGTGATTCTACACACTTTTTCAGGGTACTGCAGCTATTTGCATTTCTTACACTCTCTTCCATCTTTGTCAGAGCCTATCTGCAAAATCCTTGAACAAGTGAGGTGTTTCTGGAGAATGAGAGGCACAATTAAGGAGCAGCCTGATGCAGCTACAAGCTTAAGATTTTATTCTACTTCTGCAGGTACAATACCAGGGACTCTTCCGAATGGTCATTGTCCTGGGGATAGGTGGAACATTCCAAGTTGGCTTTCAAATTTCTACAATCACCTACATGAATCAGGTAGGTAAAAGCTCACATAGACTGGTAAATGGCATCACCAAGTCCACATCCCTTTCTTGGCATGCTCCTCTTTGATAGTTAGCAAGGATTTAATCACTATATTCTCCTCTTATGATTAATTTCCATTACTATGCTATTGTGTAAAGCAGAACATGTCAAAGTGTTGAAAACAGAAGAAAATAGAGAGATCTGCAACTTGTTGTTAATAGAACTGTTCCTCAAAAAAAGCACTGACAGGTGTGCTGCAAGTTTACAGGGAGACGGATGTCCCATGTGGCTACTCCAGTGATACCATATGACACTCTCAGAGCTTACCCATCTTCACATAGGGAAGTCAAACAGAACAAGTGAACTGTGCTCTAACTGCTTCTCTCCACTGACCACAGGTAAAACTTCCATTTGAGACACTGGAACTTAAGGGAAGACATTATCATTTAGTAGGAATCACCTTATGGCAGAAGTGTTACTTTCAGGCTCAGAGCACAGAGTTCTAAGTGAGAAAGGATTTAGAAACTGCAGTGATCAGGTGCAGTTCCTCATTACAGATCTGTGTCTTAGCACCTCAAATTTCAAGAACAACCAAGCAAAGAATGATCTCCTAATAACAGGGAATCAACGTAGCATACTCTATTACTCTATGTCTATTGGCTAATGCAAACTTTTAGAGTCTATATGAAATAGAGACTTTATCTAAAGCAACAAAGTTATGTTATAAATGTAATAAAATACATGCTGTGGAGTCAAAGTTATTGTTAATGATCCTTTTTTCTCTGTCTCAGCATGTTAAGGCTTTCATTAATGAAACTTGGCTGGAGCGATATGGCTACCCCATCCATCAGGATAACCTCTTGTTCCTGTGGTCTCTCATCGTGTCCATCCTTGGTATAGGAGGTCTCTTGGGTGCTTCAGGAAGTAGATACCTGACTGTCAAGTATGGCAAGTATGTATGTTTAATGAGAATCTGTCAACTGAATCTTAATTTAAGGAAATTACTGTTGAGGTTTTTAAAGTTTTTAAATATGAGACTGATTTAAAGGTACGCTAACAGCTGTACACAGCCAGTTTGGCGGTGATGCCAAGTTGCTGCTTCTTGCCTGTATCCTGTGGCACTAACTAACCAGTTATGTTTACAGCCTGTCACACAAGATGTAGTTACTGAGGCTGGGTTCAACTGGAAAGGTTGCTCCCAGCTGAAGGCAGAGGGGTTTCTTGGAGATGCTGCTTACAATACAGCAGCGTTGAGATGCTCCTAGGTGCCACATCAATGTCACATTGCTCCCCTTCTTTATTTCACTCTCCCTGGTTTACTGGGAAATGAACTTCAACGTGTGACCCAGAAGAGACACAGTACAGGCTGGCAGGTCCTGTCCCAGAAATGACAGTGCCCACATATGCCTTCCAGGGGATTTGGAAGTAACCTTTTTTTCCAGTGCCTTTCTCTGCCAACCTTGGCTATAGTGAATTCTCCCTGTTCAGACCCTGAGGTAGCTGGATGACAATATAGTTCTGTGTAAGAGGGACACAGAGTGTCCAGAGCCAATAGTGTAGAAGGACCTATACTGTACAGGATCATATATGCATAACTTGACTAAGTTAGCAAGATGATTTCACTCTGTGCTCCTGTGTTGCAGGAACTTAAATGCCATTTCTCTCCTGATCTACAAAAATGTTTTATTTGCTTGCATTTACAGAAAAAAATGTCTCCTGTGCAACAATCTATTAATGATAACTGCAGCATCTATCATGGGCTGCAGCAAAATGTCCAAGTCCTTTGAGATGATTCTCATTGGACGCTTCCTGTGTGGTGTAAGTGTAGGTAAGTGATTTCTCCCACAGGTTAAATATTACATCCTTATTCAAGATAGATAACCTTTCACTAAGAGAAAAAAAATCTTGAAGTCCATGATCCTTTGTCAGAAGATATTCTACGTCAACCAACTATAAGGAGTACAGTTACAAATAATTTTGCAGATACCAAATGAAATTCAGCTTTGCCAAGTGCATAAATATTCAGAGCTCTCATAAATGCCCTGATACAATTGAAAACTTTTCTAGTGGAGAAATAGATATAGTATTACTTTAATTTTGGTGGACAGTATTCAGAATTATATGGAATATAGTTTAAATCTAGTGCTCTCATTTGGCTTCAGAGAAACAGACCATTCAAAGTCATGGCCATTTCATTTTGACTCTGAATGGAATGTTCTGCAAGGGTGTTCAACTTGGTTCAAAGCAGTAAGTCCTTGGGGTTAGTGAAAGGAGCTGGATGCAATCTAGTAAAATCACTGCCTGCAGGAAGTGCAGAGAAAATAACCTGTGCTAGTGTCAGTATGTATTGTATTTCTTTCCTACACAAAATGTTGCTTTTTCATTAGTTTTGGATATTCACAAGGATGCCTTTTTTTTTTTTTTTTTTAACTTACTTCATTAGAAATTAGTGTCTATTTTTCAAATAACCAAGTTCTGTAAATTACTGACATACAGATGTATTGAAGAACAACATTATTTCAAGAACTGCTCACTCATGGTCACCCTGCTATGATCTAGAACCCATATCTTGTCTTTTTTGCTATGGAGACTGCATATCTCCACCATTTTGCCAATACATAAAGACAGGAGCAGACAATATTTTCAAACCAGATTAGAAGGGCTGTGACTATCATATAAAGAAAATACTCTTGTTCCCAGGCTAGATTTCAGAATTTCTGAGTCATTAAGTACTTCACTGATAGTTGTAAATATCAACTCTGCTTCAAATCATCAAAATTATTGCTGTACATTGAAAAAAAAATGCTTGCATCTTCTCTCAAGTCACGTACAAACCAACATTGAAGCACCATATACTTTAACCCACAATGGATCTAACGTAGCAGCTCTTCTATAACATCATTTCAAACAGGGTTGAGATTATGTACATGAACTACAAGCAAATTAAACACTACTTCTCACTGTTTAGTTACTCAGCTTTTGCATATTCTCCTTTAAAATATAGTAAGACTCAAAACAGACACCATGATGAGGCAACACCCCACAGGTGTACAGTTCTTAAGGTCAGTAAACTGCACTGTACGAAGAGGGCAGGAACCACTTCTGTAGAAAGGGTTAGAAAGCCTAGTACTTAAAAATCTCATGCCTAGGCTGAGGTATGAGAAACAATTTGGTGCACGAGGCAGCTATATTCTGTGCTGCTTAGTTATTTACATTCAATTTTATTTCCCATGGTTATGAATGTCTTCTTCTTCTCTCCCATCATTTCCTCTTCACCTCAAGGCTTTTCTACTCCTCTGCATCATCAGTATGTTGGGGAAATTTCCCCTAGGAAGCTACGTGGATTTGCAAACTCTACTGCCTCTTTCTTTTGGTCACTGGGAAAAGCCATAGGGCAAATTGCAGGACAAAGGTATAGTACAACTGATTTGCAACCCAGTTCATATCTGGATCCCTCTATCTTTTGCTTCTTCTGCTTTTCCATCAATTTCTTTCTCTTCTCAAAAACCAATGCAATGAACTTTTATTCTACACACTCTTGTTTTATTCCTGCCAGGGAGCTGCTGGGCAGCCAGTCCCGGTGGCCCATGCTGATGGCCTCCTGTGGAATTCCTGCACTGGTCCAGCTGCTCACTCTGCCCTTCTTCCCTGAATCCCCGCCATATCTCCTCATGCATAAAGGAGACCAGGAAAGCTGCAAGAAAGGTAACAGTGCTCTGTGTTCATGTTCCTTACTTGGCTTTCAGTTGGTTTGTGAGTTTTCTCTCCCAGTGAAGAAAAAAGTTTCTGAGATGACTCTGAATACCCACTAAGTACATTTTTGTTGTGGTCCTCATATAAAACACTAAACTACTCCTATATTACAAAGTCTTTCATACTAAGCTGTTATGCCCTGAGCAGTATAAATAATAAATGATAAATGATAAATGGCAGTTTGCACTTCAGGGCTCCACAAGGCACTACACAACTCTATGTTGTTGGCTGTGTACCAAGCTTGTACCCTGAGAGAATGAGGAAGGGATTAATGTGGACCCATGAGCAGGGAGGAAGTCATTGTGCACCTCACTAAGCCCCTCTCTCTGAACAAGCCCCTCTGTGAAAAAGGTGACAGGGCTCTGTAATACACCATAGGACGCCTTTGCCTCACACTGCAGACACAGCCCACACAGCCCGCTTAAACTCCTCAGTCACCAAACAAAAGAGACAAATTAACATGGCAGGTCTCACTCTCCTTCTCCTCTACAGCCATAAGGCAGCTCTGGGGTGAAGGCCATCACCAAGCAGAGATTGATGACATCATGAAAGAGAAGGCAACAATGAAAAACATCAAGATCTTGAGTGTCCTGGAGCTAATGAAAGAACCAGCTATCCGCTGGCAGCTGTACATGATAGTTATTCTGACCGCCTCAGTTCAGCTATGTGGCATCAGTGCAGTTGAGTGCATTTCCCCCTTAAAGTCTCAAAACATTTACAGCAGCCTTAAAGAAGACATCATGGCTCTCAAGATCTCCCTTCATTTTTCCCAGGTTTCCCAAGCCACTATTTGCTATCTGCCAACCCTTCTACATAGCAGCTCTGCCTGGAAAGCTTGACCAGGCTCTCCATATGACAGCTCTTGGTCATTGCTGGAGTTACCATCCTCTGTATTTAGAGTTATTTATCAGCCATTTTTGGCAGCTTCTATGAGGCCCCAGAATCTGTTCCTACAACAAGCCCACTCTCTCTTGGCAAAATCTACAGCACAATTTTATGTTACTGCTCCCATGTGTCAGCATTCTAAGGAGGACACTTGTGGAGGGATGGCAATATGCTCACTCTATCTTTAGCCATTAAAGCATGCTCACGGTTCTGGCGGCTTCTGCAGTCCTCCCTGCCTTCTTCAGATCAGAATTTTTCTAAGATCATTTTGAAGCCACAGCTTTGCAATTTCCTGCACGATTCTTCCACGTTTAACTTCACGCTGCAGCAACATCTGTGAAGGAAACACACAGCTGAGTCTAACACAGTTCAAACTGAAATCTGTATCATCTTAGCAAATCTCCAAATAGAGCAGAGATACTTTAAAAGAAAAGATGTCTGTTTTACTTCCTCGTGATTCCATCACCCACACTCTTTTTTCTTGAGAAGGAAGAGTATATCCGACAACATTGTTCTTGGATGAGCTCCATAAGTGACAATATAACTGGTTATTTATGAAAGCACTTAAATGAGATCTATGCAAACCTAATTACAGCAGCTGGAGATTTGTTTATCACTGAACTTTATCTTTCATCAAATTAATTAATTTTATAATGTTTTACAATGTTTTTGTCTGCCAATAAAGTGAATACTACCAGAAAGAGTGCACAACTCTTACTCAAAAGCTGAGCTGCATGATCCTGCTGCCAGCTCCTGTCCAGGTCAGTGTCACACACAGACATGGGTAAGAAATGATATTCTTTATTCTCTTACTGTTCTGTGTTTGTTGTTTTTTTTCTCCTCTAGATTTATTTTTATACTTTTGAAGTCCTCCAGGCAGCTGGCTTTGAGGAAAGAATGGTCCACTATATGACCCTCTCTGTCGGACTTGCAGAACTCTTAGCCACTGTAGTCTGTGTAAGTCAAGTCATGTTACTATGGAAATGCATCACTGTTTGCTTTTCTGGCACTGACACCAACTGTGATTTTTGTCCTTCAGAGCTCCATCATTGAGCGACTGGGCAGGAAAACACTCATAAGAGGAGGCTACTTCATCATGGGTTCACTGCTAGCTGCTATCACAGTGACCCTCTCCCTACAGGTTAGGAAACTCTTCTCCTGGTAGTTCTCTTTCCATTATCTATTCTGTTCTATTCGTACCTCTGCTCGTAGGTAGAAACATCTTTCTGAGAAAGTGAAGCTCAGAAGTTCTCAAATAACCCTCTGCACATAGGATTAATCTTTCTCTCAGCAAATACTGTCTGCACTCCTGCCTTCCTTTAAGCATGACTATAGCAAGGAGTGCACAAAGCACAGAGAAGGTAGCCTCGATTCCTGATATCATCAGGCTGCAAACACTGAACACTGGTCAGCACAGATCAAAATGCAGTCATAGGAAAATTGTCCTTTCTAATTACGCATTTCTTAATAAATAAGTAACAATTAAAAAAACAGTTCAACTTTGCTGCAAATTTCCCTGGGAATGCACATATTGGTTCATGGACTGCAGAGCATTTCAATTCTTTATTACCATGCCAGTGATGTAACTTCTTCAGAAACAGTTCTCTTGGGTTACCAGTATTCATCTAAGAGCTGTTCAGTAGATACTACTGCAAAATTAACATTGAAGCAAGGTGGCAGCAGACTTCCATTTCTGTGTCAATCATGAAGGGTCTTGGATATAGGAGAGAGATCATTTCCTAAAGGATTGTGTCCTATGTCTTCTTGACTAAGATCTAGGAAAGCTCCTTTTCAGTAGAAATTATTCTAGCTATTACCCTGTCAAAAGCAAAGAAAGATATAACTTGGCCTTACCATATCTCCAAGGGGAAGCACTGTGGGAACAAGGAGAAAGGAGTACACGGTGGAAAAGTACTATTCAGATATCCTTTAATTGAAGGCATCTAAACTTGACAGCTGCTCTGCATCAGCAAACTTGATTCTCTGCACACCTAAAAAAAATCTCAGGGCTCTGTCCATAGGAAGAAGGATTCACATTTCTCTCCCAGTTCTCACACACCATATGTTCTTTATTGAAGTGACAGTGTTGGAAAACTTTTGTAACCTACAATTATTCACAGATTTCACTCACAAATTGTTTTTTTCTTTGTTTATTGTGTTTTCCCAGGATTGGTATTTCTGGATGCCATACTGCAGCCTCTGTCTGATTATCTTATTTGTAGTTGTCTTTGGGCTTGGGCCAGGTGAGTATTTCATTCAAAAGAAGTAAAAGGATCAAGTCATGTTATCTTACAAATATGGCTGAAGAAATATTGCATTATATAGTATGCAGCATTTCACAAAGGTGAGTTCATTTAACCTAACCTTGAGCATCGTGGTTCCAGTCGGTGGCCAGAAACTGCATTGCCATCAGGTTTGAATTTTTATCATGAGAGACTGATGAAAGGAGAGAGCAAAAAGTATTCACCAGAAAATCACAGAGAAACAGAGTGAAAGCAGATTTTTTAGAAATAATTAGAAAAAAAAAAAAAAAAAAAGAGAGAAAGAGAAAAAGAAAACCAAGGATACTTTTAAATTCATTGTCATATACTCTCACATTGTATCCCACATAAACAGCAGCATAGAAGACGTACTTTGGATTAATTCTTTTCCTAGCTTATACTACTAATTCCTTGTGAACTTATAAAGTTTATTTATTTTTAAAATACTTGCCTTCTCACACGGTAGGTGAAATTATTTTCCTAACTCAAAGCCGTCAAAGTTCTGCAACTTCAAGACCATAACTGAAATGCCCAGGAAGTGAATCTGGAAAGACTGCTCATCACTGATCTAGCAATAGCATGCTGGGAATTCTTGCTTGTAGTAATAATTGGTATTTCACACTTATGCAGCTTTTTTAATGAGAAGATGTCAGATTTTTTGAAATGCCAACCACTCAATTCTTAAATCTCTCCAATAAAATTTGTTTGAAGAAATTAATATTTAAATAAAGTGATGTCTAACAGTTTATAAGATGCCACAAACACTTTCTTTTCTAAAAGAAAAGAGTCTCTTGAATGCCAGCCAACAACAAGAGCATCTTTTTGCAGATCCAAGTCAAACACACTGAGAAGTAATTCTTACTCCTCTTCCTATTTAGGTGGTGCCACAGTTTCCATGAGGGTTGAAATTTTCAAGCTGTCATGTAGACCATCCGCCTTTGTGATCAGTTCAGTTTTCAACTGGCTGGGTGTCTTTGTGATTGGAACAACCTTCCCATTCATCGTGGTGAGTGACTTACCCCAGGGCGCTCCCCAGGCATGCCATGCTCCACAGCTGGCCATGGGAGTTGGAAGAAGAGCAGCAGGAGACGTCCCAGGAATGTGACAAACAAAAAGATATGCTTATCTTGCTCTCTTTCTCACTCTGCTTTTCCCTGCAGGAAGGACTCAAGCACTTCTGTTTCCTCATCTTTATAGGGGTACTTTTCTCTTCAGCAACATTTTTCCACCTGTTCCTTCCAGAAACAAAAGGGAAGTCAATTGTGGAAATAACAGAAGAGTTTGATAAGCTAAACTTCAGAAAGAAGCATGTTCCAGCAACTCCAAACCATGTCATGGAGGAGGGTTACACCTTCTGCACCAGGCTGTGACTGGCTGGTACAGAGGTAGCAAGCATTCTTGAAAGGAAGAAAGAAATGACATTTGTTGTTTTCTGGTTTGCATATTGGTCAAATGGACTATCAGCTTTCATTATCCATCACCTGCGAGGCTTTTCTTTTGCCAAAACAGCATGGTTCTAAAGCACTCCACTCTGGGCAGCTTAGAAAAGGGATGATGACTTATATCACTGGAATAGACTTGTCTAACTCATGCACATCTTGACTCAACTTGCTGATGTGTAAATCTCTTCTATAATAGAAAAATTAATACACACTGAAACTGCATGTAGAATTTCTAAACATTCTGCTGACCACACAGAAAAGGAAGACTTATGGTCCCTTCTCTCTGTGAGATTCACGAGTTTGTATTTACAACCCTGAAATAGCAATAGTAAAGTTCTTGGCTTGCTATCTCTGGCTAGATTTCAATTCACAACAGATTAAAGAAAAAGAAATAACAGAATAGGACAGAAAATCTTAGTTTCTTTAGACTGAACAACCACATCTTTCCAGACTCCTGTACTTAATGCCACAATTTCTTTCTGTTATCAGACTTTCATTCTAGTTTGTCAAAATTCAGGCCTTTTGGATTTTAAACTTTCGATATCAGCAGCTCTCCTTGCTGAGAATTGCATTGAATTATTTTATTTAAAATTAAAAAAAGAAAGAAAATCAATCATTTGATTCTAAGATCAGATTTATTCATGAAATGAATAAAGAATGAGTAAAAAAATTCCTATACAACTTTACTTGTTTCAGTGGCAATACAGCTAATGAAGTCACAGATGGAACCCAATAGCCAGAAAACAGAAGCACAGGGAGTCCTTTCAGATACTCAGTGCTATCACCCCATCAGCACCATCACCTTAAGCCTGTTGCTACCCCTCCAGGATCAGAGTGCCCACAATTACCTTGTGGGCAGTGAAACACATAACAGTATGCAGTGGAGTGCAATATACAAAGTAAAACCTAAACACTAGCTGTACATAGTAAAATAAATGTTCCTTTTTATCTCTATACTGCTTTGACTGGTGTATTTACTTCAACTCCAATGTGGCTATTCAAAATACGAATTGTGTTGTTCATCTTAACTGCTGCTTACCTTTTATTGGAAACATTACACACAATAAAAATGGCAGATGAACTTATAATAACACTTCTGGCTTCCACAAGTGTTTCTTTCCAAACAATAGGACGCCCCTCAGGAACAGCTGACTAGAAAAAACTATTGGTGTGCAGATCCTTCCATGACTGGAAGGATCTTTTGTATTGAAGAACACTTGAGACCTCTCATTAAAAGATAATCTATGAAACATGGAGAGTCTCTAGAGTCAGGAAAGACTAAAAATTTTGCAGTGTTCTGTATATGTGTATATACATACCCGGGCTGAATGGGGCTGTGAGCAGCTGGTCTATTGGGAGGTGTTCCTGCCTATAGCAGTGGGGTTGGAACTGGATGATCTTAAGGGTCCTTTCCAACGAAACCATTCTAAGATTCTATGATTCTATGTATAACAACATAAATAGAAACTAATAGTCATTTGGAGACAAATCTATCCTTGTAGAAATCTCAACTTTTGGTAAAACAGAATGATCTTTTCCTAACCAGCCAGTCTGAGCACATACTTCAATGCAACAATACCCCAAATCTTTGGAAACATAAGCAGAATGTCACCATGTAGCACTGCTGGATTGACTCTCCAATGAGCCACTCCTCTGATCTGTTATTCATTAGATGTTATTAGAAAAGTCTTCTCCATATGATCCTTAACAGGAAGTGAGCGGATGCCCTATGGAACATTAATGTGACAACGAAGTGGAACAGCTATTTGGAGCACAGGTCAACCTTTGCCTGTGCTCAGTGGAGCGAGTTGTGTTCTGGTAACAGCCTGGTCAAGGCATGAAAAAGCAAAAATGTATAGTTCAAATATAAAGCTGGAATATCTGCAATAATTCATGGCATATAACATGCTGGGTAGGTATACTGGCACTTCTGCTCACCTATTCAAGCCTTAGCAATCCAGTCTCCCTCAATATTTTGGGGTCAGAATGAATAAGAATTGCCAAAAGCCACCTAAACATACCTCCCAGTTACCTGAAACAGAAAGACTGCAGCATATTGATACTTCAGAGTACTGTGGAAGTCCAGCCCAGAGAGCCAGGGGTGCCAAAGAGGTGAACCACTCAGAAGTGTCAGGAGCACCACATGTATGCATTCAGAGACATGGGCTGATGTGTAAGGATTGTCTCAAATACTGACTCTGAGGCAGATACAAAAACTTTCAAACTAGATCAGAGAAGTGCTGTTACACAGACACTAAAAACAGACATGGGCTAGTTAGACTTTATTTGCATATGTGTGTCTTGGATGATTGTAACATTGCATTTTCCCCCAGTGCCATCTAAGCAAAGCAGATACTAGCAACTTGCATAGCATTTCTTTCCTTTGGCACATGCACAGTATGTCATTCCAACTTTGCATGACTTTCCAGAAAAATAAATTAATTCCTAGCATCAAAGGGATGTTCTCTCTTGTGATCTAACAACAGCTTCACTGCTGGAGACCTAATCAGAAAATAAAACAAAACAAAACACCACGTATTCTCAACTTACATCAAAGACAATTTCATTATGAGACAACATAATGTTGAGGAAAGTGGCCAGGTGGCACTACATTTCAGATGTCAGCTGGAGAATTTGTGAATATTCTTTGCAGGTGATATATTTTCTAGCGTGACTATTTGCATACAATAATTTCTTTCTGATTTCTTCATCTTCTTTAACTGAGGTGTAAAATGTAAATGATACCTCAGCCATTTTGCAGCTTAACATGTATAAAACCATTTTAGCCATGAAATAAACGAAGTTAAAGACTGAAAACGTTCTGCCTGATGTAAGAGACAACACTCCAGCTCTGAAGGTTACTGGACTGATGCTGAATCTTCTTTTCCCAGTAAAGAAAAATTCAGTACTCCTAACTATTCAGCTTCTTGAGCCCAATGTGCCACTGTAGAATGGTTAGGCTCTTTCCAAATGTCCTGTAGATCACTATCTGAGCCCCATTTAAAATTCCCAACAGATAATACTGCCTCTAAGTTTCTTAGTTTCTACTGACAACTAAGCAAGTTATGGCTATTGCAATTCTTTTTAAAATCTATGTCTCTGTTCCCTCTTGCCCAAGGACAAAAGAGAGTTCATAATGTATACAGCATCCTGGCGAGTGAGACCGTCTTGGTTACTTGAGCTAGACGTAACCATTGGTTGAAATATTTAATCCAACAATTCTAAACTTTGTACAACAGCTGAAATAAGTGTAATTAACTCAAAAGCCTTCTAACTAAACTTTAACTTCAGTAACGTGGGACTAGTTCACTGACGCTGCTGTTGTGTAATGTGAGCTTTCGGTTCCTTTGGCAGGTACCAGTCAGTAAGCAACAGGAATCAGCTCTTTCATCGGAGATGGCCACCTTTTTCTCTGACCTGGTGAGTAAGTGTCACTTTTTCTCACGTCCCTGACATTTAAAGGGCAAGGTTAACATAATCCAGATTTCTTAAAGCTCTTACAAGCTCTTTTAGGACAGCGATCATCCTTCTCTTCTGCACTTAAACGTCGCCAAGAGGAATGGGGCTTGGGGCATGGAAAGGTCTTTTTCATGCAAGGAGACAAAATAAAAACGAACGAAAGTTCTTGCAGTTCCACTGTCTGACAATGCTGCTGTACTTTTGTCTTCTGAATAAGTGAAAACTAGCAGGCACTCTGATTACTTTCATGACTAATTTTAAGTAATGAATGGATTAACTGTGCTGCAAAAGGCTACGATATACATGACAAGCTGCAAAAGAAATTAGCTTCCTCATTTCATCCATCCATTTGATATCATCCATCAAGAGTTACCATAGTCTTAAGAGGGGAAGAAATTCTAACACGTATTTCTTACTCTATTTCTCTTACTTCCAGTAAGTACTAAAATCCTTAATTTCTAAATCTATCATGCACCCATTAAAAAAAAAAAAAAAAAAAAAAGGAAGAATGAGAAGGTGAGTTAACTTGTTTGAATCCTTTTGTTGATAAGCAAATCCATTGAATCTGAGACAGAACTTTGAAGGAAATTCAGAATCTCCTGATCCATTACTTCTTTGTTCTTGTCATGAGATAACTTGGGAAATTCAGTAGTGGGGAAATAAAGTAACAGGGCCTTGAAAGATGGACCTAAGAACTAGAATAAGGAAAGATCTAAATATCATCCAAGCCACCATTATACACATTTACTTGACTTTGCTCCATCTGATTGTATTTTATGCCAGCTTTTCTTCATCCAGGCACTGATCTCCAGGAAACTGTGAGCTTACGAAACTCGTGATAGGAAAAGGGGGAATGGCTTTAATATAAAAGAAGGGAGATTTGGGTTAGATGTTAAGAAGAAATATTTTACTCAGAGTGCTGAGGCAGAGCTGTGGGTGCCCCATCCCTGGAGGCACTCAAGGCTGGGTTGGTTGGGTCCCTGGACAGCCTGACCTGGTGCAGGGCAGCCAGCCCATGGCAGGGAGCTGGGGCTGGGTGATCTTTAAGGTCCATCCTAAGCCATCCTGTGACTCTATGATTACTATCTGACTTGAAAAGAACACAGAGCACAGTGTCTTCTATACAGATCAGTAGCATCACATACCCCAGATACGTCTGTGTAGTTTTGTGTTAGGGAGAGTTTTGTGTTACTGCAATTACAAAGGCTACTCCAAATTACCATCTTCTCTTTTCAGCCCATGCCTTTCTTAAGAAGGCAAATGTTAAAAGTATCTTTCCTTTATTAAGCTTAAGGATAACAACAAAGTCAGAAATGAAAGCAGTACATTAACGTCAAGTTGATGGAGTACTTATTTTCACTTTGCAGGTTCAGTTCCAGGGGCTATTTCAAATGGTCCTAGTGCTGGGAATTGGTGGTAGTTTCCCATATGGATTCCATATTTCTGTCATCAACTCCCCCTCTGTGGTAAGTAGCAATCTCCCTGGACAGTTTTAAGCTTTGGGGGTCTTGCTTTTCAATTCATCTACCTATCTAGTGTGCTATGCATGTGATCTCCTCTCCTGTATGCTACTTACAGGCAAAACATGGCCAAATACACAGATGCCAAAGTCACAGT